GGACAGCAGCTCCGCTTCAGATAAAACCAAGTCGTTTGATAGCTTAGCAGCAAACAACAGCAGCAACAATAAAAGGAGACAGCAGTAAGAAGAGACAGCTAAAGGAGACATCAAAAGGAGACATTAAAAGGACACACTAAAAGGACACACTAAAAGGAGACACTAAAAGGAGACACTGAAAAGAGGCACAACACCCTAAACCCTAAACCCTAAACCCTAAACCCTAAACCCTAGGCCTACGAGGTCGTCTATGAGTTCGAGGCCCCCCATAGCCACGGCTTCATCGCCGCCTGGCTGCAGCGCCTTCTCTATAACTGTTGTTACGCCAGGCAGCAGTGCAAACAACTGCAGCAGCCCCACACAAACCCTAAACCCTAAACCCTAAACCCTAAACCCTAAACCCTAGGCTTCAGGCCTATATCCCGTTCCTCCAACACTTCCAATGAACTACAAACCCTCAACGCAAACCAGACGACCTTCTATGGCAGGCCCAAACCCTAAACCCTAAACCCTAGACTTTAAACCCTAAACCCTAAACCCTACCTTTTTTTGTTGTGCAGGGTCTACTGCATCCTCCGCGAGGCCCCTGAGCCCCTCAAAAGAAGGCCCAGCGAGGGAAGGGTTTTGATCAGTGGTGGCGAGAGCTGCAGATACACCCCAAGAGGCAGCATTCAGCTGCATGCAGCCTAAACCCTAAACCCTAAACCCTAAACCCTAAACCCTAGATTCTAAACCCTAAACCCTCACCTTGCTGAAAGATGTGTAGCAACTCATCAAAGAAGGTCTCTGCCCCGTCTCCGCTTTCAACATATGCAGCAAATACCTCGACAGCAGCAAGTTGCAGCTGCTGCAGCTGCTGCTGCTGCATTTGTTGCTGCTGCTGCTGCTGCAGCAGAGGTGCAGCAAGGAGCTGCAGCACATGTCTCGTCTTTGCTTCGTCAAATTGAGGCAGCCGCAGCAGCGCAGCAAGCAAATGACCTAAGGAGTGACGCACTGGCTTCGAAGACTCGCTGCCCAAACGATTTACTAAGGACTCCGTAAACTCAGACTGCAGCAGCAGCAGCAGCAGCAGCAGCAACAGCAGCAGCAAATGCAGCAAATGCAGCAAATATAGCAGCATATGTAGCAGCATATGTAGCAGCAATAGGGTTTGATTAAGCAGATGCAGACGCGCAGCAGTAGATGCAAATGAAGTAGCAGATGCAGCAACAGAAGAAAGGAAGATGAAGCAGCAAATGCAGCAGCAGCAGCAGCAAGTGCAGCAGCAGCAAATGCAGCAGCAGCAAATGCAATGAATACAACAATCGGAAACGAAGCAGCAACAAGAGAGAGTGGAAGCAAACAGAAGACAGCTAGAAGATGTCTCTCACACCTCAACAACCAGGGGTAACCCTAAACCCTAAACCCTAAACCCTAAACCCTAAGCTGTCGATGTTGAGGGGCCCCACCTGCTGCTCTGGCTGCATGCAGCCAAATGCCTTTGCTGCCTTGCGTCTGAGCAGCACTGCAGCAAGCTGTCTGATTTCTTCTTGTTCTCCTCTAAGAGCCTCCTCTGCTAGCAGCAGATACACCTCACGCTGCTGCTCCGGCTGCTGCTGCTGCTGCAGCAACTGCCGCACCTGTTCTGTTGCTGCCTTGGCTGTAGCAGGTTGCAGGGATGCCTGCAGCAGCTCGCGCAGCTGCTGCTGCCCCTGCTGTTTTGCATCTGTCATCTTCGTCAGACCCTAAACCCTAAACCCTAAACCCTAATAAACCCTAATAAACCCTAAACCCTCGAGTGCAGCAAGGTCGCCTGCGGGGGCCTCCCTGCTGTTATTTATTTGTGTAAATTTATTATTAGACAAAACTCAGCAGCAAACGCAAAGACCCAGAGCTGCAGTTTGCTGCTGCTGTAGCAGCAGCAGCAGCAGCAGCAGCAGCAGCAGCAGCAGCAACGGAAGCCACAGCTGTCGATCCCTGGCTCTTAGCGGCTCTCTGCGGTGTATAGGCAGATCGCTTCCTACATACCTTAAAATAAATATAATAAAAAGAAAAAGAAAGCATTTAATAAAGAAACAAAGTTAAAAAAACAAACAATAACAAATTATAAACGTACACATGCAATACAGATATATGCGGGGCGCGGCCCCACGCCTAGGGGGCCGGGCACCTCCTGAGGGTTTAGGGTTTAGGGTTTAGGGTTTAGGGTTTAGGGTTTGTTGTTAAGACAAGATCTTATATACACTTTCGAATAAGACTTATTATTGTATAGGCATACAGTGTACAGAAGGATGAGCCTGCGCTAAAGCCCTAAACCCTAAACCCTAAACCCTAAACCCTAAACACTGTACACTATACTCTGGACTTTAAACACTAAATCCAAACCCTCAGAGACAAAACCCTAAAGCCTAAACCCTTAACCGCAAGGTCATGAGCCCTCAGCCGACAAACAATAAAGAGAGAGACCTCGGGCGGCTGGGCTTTAGGGGTGTTGAGGCTGTGCTTCTGCTGCTGCTGCTGCTGCTGCTGCTGTTGCTGCTGCTGCTGCTGCTGCTGCTGCATAGAGTACAGATTACGTTTGCTTCTGTTGTCTCTGTCTCCTCCTTGAATATCTTTGTCTCTTCTTTGCTTGCCTCTGCCCTATTGCTGTCTCTGTCTCCTTGTTTGTGTCTGTTTGTCTCCTTTTGTCTTTGCTGTCTCTAAGTCTAAGCCTTCTCTCTCGCTTGATTCTTATACTTGTCTCCTTTCTTGCTGTCTCCTTTGTGTGTCTCTGTCATTTGCTGTCTCTTCTGCGTGTGGTTGTCTCTCTATTTGTCTTTAACTCTTTTTTGTCTGTCTCTGTCCGTGTCTCCCTGTCTCCTTTATCTCTCTGTCTCTGTCTGTCTCTCTCTGTTTCTCCTTTACATCGCTGTCTCTCTCTCTCTCTGTCTCCTTTATCTCGCTGTCTCTGTCTCTCTTTCTGTCTGTCTCCTCTATCTCGCTGTCTCTGTCTCTCTTTCTGCCCTCTTTATCTCTGTCTCTCTCTTCGTCTCCTTTATCTCGCTGTCTCTCTTTCTGTCTCCTTTATCTCTCTCTCACTGTCTCTCTTTCTGTTTGCTTTACCTCTCTCTCTCTCTTTCTGTCTCCTTTATATGCCCTCGGCTCCATCATATTGTCTGTCTCCTTGCGTTGTTTTATGTGCTGTCCCTCGTCTCCTTCTCTTTTTCTTTTGTCTCTGTCTCTCTTTGCTTCGGTCTCTCTTTGTCTCTGTCTCTCTTCGTCTTTGTCTCTCTTTGTCTCTGTCTCTCTTTGTGTCTCTCTTTGTCTCTGTCTCTCTTCCTATCATTCGCTCTTACTGTCTCCTCTATCTTGTCTGTCTCCTTTTGTTTATTTCTTGTCTATTTCTTTGTCTCTATCTCGCGTGTCTCCCTTATCTTTATTTTCATTTTTATTTTCTTGCTGTCTCCTCTTCTTATTGATCATGAAGACAATATATTAAATTCTGTCTCCTTTCTGCTGTCTCCTCTATCTTTTTTGTCTCCTTTCTGCTCTCTCCTTTATCTTTTTTGTCTCCTTTCTGCTTTTCAGTTTATTATTGTGTCTCTCTACTTTATTAAACTCTGTCTCCTTTGTTCTGTCTCCTTTACTCTGTCTCCTTTCTCTCTACTGTCTCTATCCTGCTCTCTAGTTTATTATTGTGTGTCTCTATTAAACTCTGTCTCCTTTCTGCTGTCTCCTTTCTGCTGTCTCCTTTCTGCTGTCTCTTTCTCAATCAGCAGAGACAGCATCGGGGCGACAACCAAACCCTCTGCATTTATTCATTTTCTTTTGTTTATTTCTTTTTTTTCTTTTTTCTCCTATTTCCCTTGCTCTCTTTGTTCGTCCTCATATATATATATATATATATATATGCATAGATACATATATATATGTACATATATATAATATATATATAATATATATATATATTCCAGGCCAAGCAAGCAATATATCTAATCTATTTAAATTATTATTTTGTATTCGAATGTCATAAATGCAGACGGAGACATGCAGGCTATGCAGTTCTCCTTTGGTTGCTGCTGCTGCTGCTGCTGCTGCTGCTGCTGCTGCTGTTCTAGCTAGCTGGTTAACTGACAACTTGGGGGGGCTGCGTTTGCTGCTGCGTTCCCCTGCTGCTGCTGCTGCAGCAAAACCGAATTATCTAAACACCCTCGCCATATTACCTTTGCTGCTGCTGTTGCAACAGCTGCTGCTGCTGCTGCAGCTGCTGCTGCTTCTCTTCCATCCGCTTTGCTGCTGCTACCTGGAGACGCCGCTGCAGCTCTGCTTTTTTTCTTTCTTTTCGTAGTCTTAATTTAAACTGATGCCTCTCATCATGGATCCTGCACAAGCACAGCAGCAGCAGCAGCAGCAGCAGCAGCAGCAAATGCTGCGGGAACAACAACACCAGTAGCTACGCAAAAGCAGCAGCAGCAGGGACACGAGTACCAAGAACAGCAGCAGCAGCAGCTGCTGCTGCAGCAGCAGCAACAGCTTGCAGCAGGGCGCCTCACTTGTAGAAATCTTTGCTGCGAGACCAAGTCTGCAGCTCTTCAGGTAGCGGCTCCCTGTGCAGCCAGCGATCGATTTGCTTCTTTGTCTCGCTGCAGCAGCAGCAGCAGCAGAAACAGCAGCAGCAGCAGCAGCAAGGGTGCCCCTTCAGCTCAACCCAGCCACTAACTCAGATACAGCAGCAGCAGCAAAAGCAGAAGCAGCTGCAGCAAAAGCAGCAGAAGCAGCACAAGCTGCAGCAGCAACAAAAACAGAAGCAGAAAAAGTAGCAGCGGCAGCAGCAGCAGCAGCAGGCAGTTGTTAGTTACTCTGGCAGTTCGGGTTTCCCCTGTCTCCAGTGTATCGACAGCTCGGCCTCCAGCTTGCGGTGCAGCAATCTGCTGCCTCTCTTGAGGATTACATCGAGCTGATCCGGGGCTACCAGCCGAGGCGCCAGCAGCAGCTGCTGCTGCTGCTGCCGCTGCTGCTGCTTCTCCTGCTGCTGCTGCTGGGCTGCGGGTGCGTCAGTCGAAACGCCAGCCGCGTCGTCTGACCATTAAATGCCGCAACACAGCAGCAACAGCAGCAGCAACAGCAGCAAGAAGCAGCAGCAACAGCAGCACACAGTAGCAGCAACAGTAGCAGCACACGCAAAAAGATACAGCATCAATAAACAAGATTATAATGCCCCTCACAAGCTCGCCCTGAGTTGCTGCTGCTGCTGCTGTAGCTACTGCTGCATGTGCTGCTTCTAGTGTTCCTGTTGGTGCTGCAGTTGCTGTTGCTGCTGCTGCTGCCCGTGTTGCTGCTGCTGCTGCTTACTGTTGATAACGAAGAAGAGCTCATTGAATGGCTCTGCAGCAAGAAAGGCCCCCCAAGAGCCGAAGACACAATTTACAGAGCTCTGCGCTTCTCTCCAAGCACTCCTGGTGAAGGGGATCGGTCGACCCCCCTTTGGGATCGATCGATCCCAGGTTGGGATCGATCGATCCCCACCTGGGATCGATCGATCCTGAGTCATGGCCACTTGATCCCCACCTGGGATCGTTCGATCCCCACCTGGGATCGATCGATCCCAGGCTAGGATCGATCGATCCTCCGTTAGAATAGGCTGCCCCGCGACCATGAGGGGTCGATATCCGTGAGCTGGGATCGATCGATCCCAGCAGAACTGGCGCACTAAAGCGGAGCGCCTCAGAGCAGAGAGAGTCATCGGCTGTCCCTCTTTAAGCAAAGCCAAATGCATTTGTCTAAGAGAAAAATAAGAGAAAGGAGACACGCAAAAAGAGACAATAAACAAATAAAAGAGAGCGCCTCAACAAACCTAAAAAAGGAGACAGTGAGAAGAAGAGACAAAACAACAAAAACAAAATGCAGAGAATGAAGAGACAGATAAAACAAAAGAAGAAGGAGACAGCAAACAAGAGAGAACGAGACATGCATACATACGCTTCTTAAATAAAACAAAAGAAGAAGGAGACAGCAAAGGAGACATGCATACACCCGAAAGAAGAAGAAGAAAAATAAAAAGAAAGCGAAAAGGAGACAGCAAAAAGACATCATGCAGGAGTCATCAAAAGGAGACAAAATGAAGGAGAGAGAGACAGAGAGAGACAGAGACAGAGACAAGTAAAAAGAGATAAAGACAAAGACAGAGACAGAGACATAGAGAGACAGACGAAACAAAGGCAACTGTCTCTTCTCTTCTCTGTGTCTCTTCATATACCCCCGTACCTAGCAAGCAGCAGAATATTGCGGTTTGCATGCAGCTTGCGGTGTATATACAGATCCTCGCTGCAGCAACCCGAAGCCAAATGCTTCAGACGAAGAACGCGAAAATTTAGAGACGCCGGCAAACGAATGGGCAGTCGAACAGCGCGCAAAGCGCTGCTGCGGCTGAGACATCATTCAGGAGACACATTATATACTAAAGGAGACACATTATAAAGGAGACGCATTATAAAGGAGACACATTATAAAGGAGACACATTATATAGTAAAGGAGACATATTATATAGTAAAGGAGACATATTATATAGTAAAGGAGACATATTATATACTAAAGGAGACACATTATAAAGGAGACATATTATATAGTAAAGGAGACATATTATATACTAAAGGAGACACATTATAAAGGAGACACAATATATAGTAAAGCAGACATATTATATAGTAAAGGAGACACATTATATAGTAAAGGAGACACATTATATAGTAAAGGAGACACATAATATAATGAGGAGACACATTATACAGGAGGCGCATTGTAAAGAAGACATATTATATAATAAAGGAGACATATCATCTAATGAGATAAAGAGATAGATAAGGATACGCATCATATAATAAAGGAGACACATTATAAAATAAGGAGACGCATTATATAATAAGGAGACACAAAATAAGATGAGACATTATAATCAGGAGACAAATAGATAAAGAGACAAAGAGATAGATAAGGAGACAAAGAGATAGATAAGGAGACAAAGATATAGATAAGGAGACACATAATAGGTGCATAGTAAGAGACAGAAGAAGAAGGAGCAAGCGCCTTTGCGCGGTTTTTTTTCGTGTGTTGTCATTAGGGTTTAGGGTTTAGGGTTTAGGGTTTATGAGGGTGTTATTATGATTGAGAAAGATACTCTTTAAAGGAGACAAAAGCAGAGCCTGCGCATTGATAAGCATCAAGCTTATTAGGAAGTGCATAAACTTTAGAGACAGCTCCGAATCGAGCAAAATAACGAGATAGCCTCTCTTGTATAAACTCAGGGGTGCGGCCCATAGGGAGACCCTCTACATAAACTGTCTCCTCTCCGTGCTCGGCTATGCCCTCTAACCTAATATACAAATTATAATACACAAATTATAAACAACATATTAAAGGAGACACTTACTACAACTGCACATGCTTCTCTCTCTCTCTCTTTCTCTACAGATGCTGAGACAGAGAGAGACAAATAATATATATATAAATATATATAAAGAGAGGGGGACAGATATATATATATT